TACTGCTTTTGTTGACTTCTGGCTGCCAGGAAATGTTGCTGCTATGCCACACCACCCTGCCTTGAAGCCAGCTGATTATGGACTGAATCCTTATAAACTGTGAGCAAACTATACCTTTCCTTCCTTCATTTTGGGCATCAGGTATTTTGTCTGAGCAATGAGAAAAAGTAACCAAGACAAGAATGATCAACAGAAGCAGGGACAGTAAAGGAGAGACAGAGAGAGAGAGAGAGAGAGAGAGAGAGAGAGAGAGAGAGAGAGAGAGAGAGAGAGAGAGAGAACATATAAAAATAAGCAAGGAGCTGGGTGTAGTGGCATACATCTGTAATCCCAGCACTCTGGAAGGCTGAGGCAGGAGGACTGCAAGTTCAGCCTGAGAAATTTAGTGTCTTAGTGTCAAAATAAAAATAAAGAGACTCAAAAAAAAAATAATTAAAAAGAACTGACGTTGTAGCTCAGTGCAAAGACTTTGAGTTCAATCCCTATATCCCTAGTATTGCAAAAAAAATCAGGAAGCTAAAAGAACCACAAAAGAGACAGGGATAAAATTGATAAGTTAGAGATGCAACTCCAGATACTGCCTGCTTCCAAAAATTTTAAGAAAATTATTTCACAGGCCAGGGCTCAGAGGCACAAGTGCCTGCCTGGCAAGTACAAGGTCGAGTTCGACTCTTGATACCAAAAAAAAGAAAAGAAAAGAAAAGAAAAAGAAAATTATTTCACATTAAATAAATGACCAAAAAATTACCAGAGTTAGATCCTAGACAAAATCACTAAATAAAAAAATGACAAGAAGCTGAATGGAATTCCTATGGACAATTGCAAAACTGTTCAAAACATCTACTTTCAGAATAGAGGAAAGTTATTATTTATTATTTTAGCATGAACTAAAAGGTATTACAGGAATCACATAAGATAGGAAAAGACCATGGGAATTGGAAAACTTCAAAACTGAAATGTTAGAATTCGAGAAAAAAGAGGTCAAAACAGAATCAATTCAGAAATGAAGAGTAATGTAAAAGTAATACGAAGAGAAACAAAATATCAGATAATTCCTTAAAAAGAACAGAAATAAAAGGGGAAAATCAGATGAAAAATTGAAGGAAAGATATAAAAAGGCTGGAGAGAAAAGGAAAAATGTATAAATAAGCAAAGATGACATAATATATTCTAGTGGATATTTCTAAAGGATGTAAAAATTCCAAAGCAAGACGCAGAATAACTACCAAAAAATCTATAGTCAAATACACATCTCTCTCTCTCTCTCTCTCTCTCTCTCTCTCTCTCTCTCTCCTCTCTCTCTCTTTCTTTCTTTCTTTGTACTGGGAATTGAGCTCAGGACCTTGTGCTTGTCAGGCAAGTGCTGTGCTGCTGAGCTGTATCACCGGCCCAGCCCTACACTTTCTTAAAATTACTAGTGTACTTGTAAGTAATTCAAAATACATATCAAAGTTTATAAGTTTACCTATAAATATTCATCCAGAATTAACTACACCAATACATAAATAAAGTTACTAGATTTTAAAGGAAAAAATTAAGATGTCCAGATATAAAGGGGAAAATACAGTTATCATGACACAGGATTCTCAATGTAGAAATTTATATAGCCTAGGCATTGATTCAGACAATAAATAACTGACAATAAATACCTAGCTCTTTCCTAAACAGCGTGAGCAACCCAGTATGAACTTCTTTAGTACTGCGTTGGGGTTTGTGAATACACTTTCCTACGGAAAGAAGCTAGAGTCTTAAAGAAATGGCTAATTCCAAGTTTGGAACAGGAAATATGCAAGATAATCCTGGAAATACCATGTTAGTCAGCTTTTCATCACTGTGACAAATACTGAGAAAATAAGCTTAATAAAAGAAAAGATTTACTTTGGCTCACGGTTTCAGGGAGCTCAGTCCATGGCTCTTTGGCTCTGTTGCCTACAGGCCATGGTAGTCCAGAACATCATGGCAGAAGCATGTATCGGAGGAGGCCGCTCACCTTAACTGCAGCCAGGAAGGGAGAGAAACAGGAAGGTGTTGGGCTTTTAATGCCTCCTACAGTGACACACTCAGTGACCTTCCATTATGCCACTTCTTAAAATTGCCACCACTTCCCAATAGCATCACAGGCTGGTGACCAAGCCTTCAGCACGTGGGCCACTGAGGAGCTGTTTAAGAAAGCTCTCAGTGGTTACTAGTAGCATGTGATAAGGACTCAGGAACCTCAACAGACAAAGGTAAGAAAAATTAACAAGTGTAATGGACTGAAACGCACACCCACATAATTTTTTATAAAACACTTATTTGGTTACTTTTGTAGCATTCTAGTACATTAGCTTTTCATTGACGTAAACAATTTAAAAGGCAAAAAGATTTATTTTGGCTCATGGTTTCAGTCTGGCCTTGCTGCTTCCACTGTTCTTAGGCCGTGGCAAGGCCAAACAGTATAGCAGCAAGCCACGGCAGAGGAAAGCAGCTTGCCTCATGGCAGCCAGAGAGTGGAGAGAAAGAAGACGGCTGTGGACAAAACATATTGTTTGAAGGCACAGCATAAGCGACCTACTTTCTTCAATTCAGCTCTGCGGCCTTGTGTTTCTACCATCTCCCAGTGGTGCCATCAGCTGGAGAGCAAACTTTCAACAGATGACCTTGGGCAGGGGGTTCGCACTGTATAAGAGCCAGACAATTGCATTCTGGGAAACAACGCAATGTTTTGTTACAGTTGGTAAATAACAGCCAGGCACACCTGTCATCTGAGCTACTCAGGAAACTGGGGCAGGAGGATCGCAAGTTCAAGGCTGGCCTGGGCAATTTAGTGAGATTCTGTCTGAGTAAAACACTGAAAAGGCTGGGGATGTAGCCAAGTGGTAGAGGACTCCTGTGTTCAGGCCTTAGCACTGAAAAACATTGGTAAATACCGGGTAAGAATTGGGCAGTTTATCTTATCTATTGGATAATTACATGTTATAAGAGGGAAAGTTTCTTTCTTTTTTTTCTTTCATTCTTTCTTTCTGGCAGGGGTAGGACGGAGGGGACAGGATCTTGCTGTGCTGCTCAGGCTGAGCCCAGACTTGTGATCTTTTAGCCTCAACCTTCAAGTAGCTGGGGTTTTAGGCACGCACCATCATGCCCAGCTTGGAAAGTCTCTTTTTGTAGATACATGTCAGCTAATAAGTGAAGAAGAAGTGATTCAGTTAGAATATCCTTGTTTCAAGCTTTCATAAATATAGGATTTACGCATCCTGTATTTTGCTGTTAGCAGCAAAAGTGAGACAGGTGGGCCTCCTGGAGAAAAAGCACAATATACCAGTGACACACTTTTCCCCGCACCAGAATCAAACCTGGATCTGTCAGGCGGGTAGGCCTAGCCACAGCACTGGAGAAAATGAGGTCAAATAATCTCTTGTACTCAACAAATTTATTACACAAAGATAAAAAAGAGAGAAAAATAGATAGATTTTTGAAAAATAACCCAAACTAGCCAGGCAAGGTGCCACGTGCTTCTCTAAGCCTACCACTCTGGGACACTGAAGCAGGAGAAGCTTAAGCTTGTGCCCAGTCTGAGCAACTCAGTGAGACCTTGTCTAAGAAAGGGCTGAGGATGCCAAGGCTCTGAGTTTAATCTCCAGTACTGCCAAAATAAATGAACAAATGGCAAAGCTGTATACTTATTATTTAGAGATGGACCTGTGGGTGACAGAATTCTAAAGACTGCAAGGAAGTTTACCAAACTACGAATTTATTTTATATGGTTTTCAGTATCTGTGTTATTTTTTACAATTAACAAGATTTCAAGAAAATTCACCCCTCTTTCTGGATGCCAGGATTAAATTAACATTTAAAGGGTGGCTTTTAGGAATGTGCATTTTAATGGAAGCCTATATGGAGTTGCCTAGAATGTCAAAACTGTTAAACCAAGCAACTCGGGGCATTTACACTAAAAGCAATATTTTTTATCTTTTACTTTTTCACTAATGAAAAATTTTGTGCACTTAAAGACCATTAAGAGAGAAATGGGATTATCTCTTGGCACTAGAGGATATCTGATGAAAAAAATATGAAATTTATCTGCCTACCAACCTACCACCTATCTGTTTTTAAATCTTATCCTTCTCTGTTTTCTGTTTTGAGATAGTTACTGTGTATATAGTGTACAACAATGTAGTGCTATATAAAATGTTAATGAATAATTAAGTATTGGGCACATGTACTCTCTCTGTATATAATTTTGGAGGCCACCAGTTTTCTTACTTGAGTCACAGGCCAGGGACAGAAGGCCCGAGATGAGGAAGGCAGGCAGGCTTTAGGGCTGGAGAAAATGTTGGTTGAAAAAGGCAAGACTTGCTTAGTCTCAGGTTTGCAGGCCAATGAGAGTAGGAGTAATAGAGTAATTCTAAACGTGAGATAATATACAAATCATAAATGCATGAACAGTAATCCCTTGTATTTTATTCTCCTGACAACACTATGAGATCCAAAGAAATAACTCTGTAACAGAAAGACTGAAATCTGGGCAGGTCAGATCCATGAACTCATATCTAGGTATCAAAACTGACCCTTTAGTTCCAGTTTCTGTGTTCTCAGTTTTAGGAGGATAATATTTTTGTGTTCGATATCTGTTAAAGATTTGCAGATAACTAATTTATAAATTTAAAGGGGTTAGCCATAATTTTCTAGGAGATAAAAAGAGATCAGAAGTAAAATTATCCAAAGTAGATAAATATTTGGTGCTGTTAACTTATTGTGATAAAGGCTGGGGATTTAGCTCCGTGCCATAAGTGCCTGCCTGGCAAGTGCAAAGTCATGAGTTTGATCCCTGGTACAAATAAATAAATAAATAAATAAATAAATAAATGTGTGTGTGTAAATAAATTACTGTCGTAGATTAGCAACTGGTCTCAGTGTTCTAGAGATCCAAAGGTAAGACTGTCTTATTTTTCTGGGAAGTCATCCAGCACTAATTGAAAATATTAGCATACTGCATGTGATTTAGACAAACATAGCCCATACTCTGTACAGAGAAAACAATGATGATAGTATTGTCTGTGGCTTTCCTAAATTGCAAGCCCATGTTTAGAAGAGTGATTGTATTTTGAAGAATGCTTATGTAATAACGCAAGGGCTAATTGCTATTTATATGGTTTATGGTTCTTCCTACATCATTACAAGTTGCAAAGGTTTGACACAGAACATTGTTCTACTTCCTTGCATACCACTTCCAAAGGGGGAAGATTTCATAGCCAACCATGAATCAGACCAAAAACCAAAAAGTGGAATGAATCAAACATTAATCAGTAGCGAGGGATGCATTCTGCCCGATCACAATAGGGCAAAACCACACCCATTGGAGGTCATGACTGCTTGCATTAGTTTCAGATAATCCCTGACAAATTAGCAAACCCTCTCAGGGTTTGCATGTGGTTAAGAGAACAAGGCCAGAGGAGTAAACTGAAAGCAAATTTAAAAAGTCTAGCTGGATTAGTATCTCAAAAGAATGAGACAATAAAAGTCAGAGATTTCTTATTGATACTTGCATGAAGCAGTAAACAGGTTGAAATCGAAAACACTTCCTCCTTTTAAGGAAAGACTCCAACTGCAGGCCTTTAGAGCAAAGCCTAACCAAGTTCAAGTGTGACACAGTTATGATTCATCGTCAAGAGTGTATTACGCAGACCACTAGTCTCTTTAGTCATACATTCTAAGCACTCAAAGTAGTCATATTCAAAGAGGTTGCATAACAAACTGGTAAGTGCTATATTTTTCTTAATTTCTTTCTAATATGAGGAGATCTGCAGCAGGATTACAGAATTTCTTTGTGTGTGTGTGAATTAAAATAACCTTGGCATAATACTACAAGAACGGTTCCTTCCACCGAGTCTATAAATGGATACTTCATGGTGTGTGGGGATGGGGGTAAAAGTTTCTTAGTTATTCTCAGGTCATTTTGATAAAAGGAAGCTACATTTCCTCACTACTGCTACTGCAATGTATTGCAATAAAAATATCCTTTTTGGAATTTTTCTTTTAGGCTGAATCCAGGACCTCTTGCTAGTGAGCCCAGGCCCAAGAAACTATTTTCTTGAGATGCCTTACTTACAAATTGGCACTTTTGCAAGAACTACCACTCTGATAGTTACTCAAGAGTCTTTTTAAGCCTCTCAGAACACTAAGAATTAAGTTTTCAGTAACCAGAGTTGTTTGTAAGTGAAGCACGGTCATGCTCTGCTCTCAAACTCGCAGTTCCTTGCTATATAGCCACTGCTACAGCTGGTCAGTTTGTGCATTTGGCCAAAATATATTCTACCATCATGGAATATGGAAAATAAAAGTTACGTGGTTATTTGTAATATACCTTTTCTTTTTACAAAAACAGGGAAAAAAGTCATTAACAGTATCACAGAACTCCAACACTCTTTGTCACAGATGACTACAACTTCTAACAATTGTTCATCAACTATGAAATGATTGGAAAATTTCTGGAATGTTGTGTGTAGCAGCTGGATCAACTTCTGAGATGAGATTTGTAGAGATGTTAGAAATTTGCCATAAGCATAGTTCACTTTCAGAGGTGTATGCAGAAGAACTGATGTCTGTAGTTACCTCTGTGGAAAGCCAGTTCCCTGATGTGCTACTCTTTTTTTTCTTTTTCTTGTCTTTTTGAGGCAGGGTCTCAGTATGCAGTTCAGGCTGATCTTGAGCTCCCTTTGTAGCCCATGCTGATATTGAACTCGCAACGACCCTCCTGCCTCAGCCTTCTGAGTGCTGGAATTACCTGCTACTCTTATAAGACTGGGATAATATTAGCTTAATCTCTGATTTGGTGAAAATCTTCCTCCAACTGAGTTTTATTTTTAATGCTTTTGGTTTGTGTTCAAAGCCATAATAAAAAAAAAGTCTAGATGAATTTTCTTATAGTATGTTTGCTTCCCCTTTGCCCCCACCTATTCAGCAGTCTTGATCTAAAATATGAGCAACAAAAATTTTTCTTGGAATTCAATAGTGAGGAAAAATCACCTTCTTTAGAAAGCCAGGGGTTGCTTTGGAAAATGGCAACTGTGTAATTAGTTGGAGCACTTTGTGACCAGGAAGCTCAGTGTTTTAATTTGTAGATCAACAGTGTGTTTATCACCTGTAATTTGCCATTCTCCCTTCTCAGCCTCTTGAGTAGCTGGGATTACAGGTGTGCACCACCTCACCCAGCTTCTTGGGACCCTATTGTACACTAAAAACATTATATTTATTTTAAAATTTACTGTCTCTATCTTTTAAAGTTATTCAAATCTTTGTTCAGTGAAACGATGGTAGAAGTCAATGTTAAAAACAAAAATCACAAAGGCATCTGGCTCAGGAACAAAAGCGAAAGTCTTCGTGCAATTCCTGCAGGATTACTTCCCTGCTACTGAAGTCAATGCGCTTGAATTTCCCCCTTGAGAATTAAGCCTGGGGTTCTTTTTCTTTCTTGACTAAATGTAACCTTGGGAAAGTTGGCTGGACTCTGCCCTGGGGAGATAAAATTCTAAGGAATTTGCTAATTCATCATTTCCACCACACTCACGGTATGTTCATTAGAGTTTTATGTATTAGACTTTTTCCCTTATAAATGAATGAGAGAAGAAATAGGGCTAAAAGCATCTTTTGAGTATTTTGCCTCCCTTCTCATTAACACATGAAAAATTTAGTCACTTTCTATTTATAAACAAAGTTAGTTGACAGAGAAACAGTCAATTCTGATGGCAAAACTTCAACTCTGAAAAATTTTGAAACACTGGTATTGATTTATTATTCACATGGTTCAAAATCCAAAAGTACAAAATTGTATGGAATAAAAAGTTTTTCTTTAAATTTTGCACACAGCTGTCCAGGTCCCTTTCCAAGATTAAGCCAATCTTACTAGTTTCTAGTAGTGTATCTTTTCAGATAGTGCATGCTAATACAAACAAAGTAAGTACACATATACACATAAATGTATATATGCACACGGATGTGTATAATTTTCTTCTATGTGATGGAAATTGAAGCATATTAGATAATTGTTTTGTATTTTAAAATTTTGCACATAAAGTATCTTGCAGATCATTTCTTAGTAGTATAAACAGCTTTCTTATTCAGTATTTAGTGTTCAAAGGGTTTCAACTTGTGATTGTATCATGATTTACCAGTCCTTTATTAATGAACATTTATACTGGTTTTCAATTTTTTGTGTGTGATAGTGGGGATTGAAGACTTACCTGCATCCTTTGCCTTTTTCTTTTCTTTTCTTTTTTTTTTTTTTGAGACAAAGTATCATTAAGTCACTAAATTGTCCAGGCTGAGCTTGAAATTGCAATCCTCTTATTTCAGTCTCTCAGTGTTGTGATTACAGGTATGGGCTACCACAACCAGCTTTCGATCCTTTTTTTTTTTCTTTCTTTTATTGTAAATGATGCTGAAATAAAACAGACTTTGAATGCATACCATTCATCATGTGTATTATAAGATTAAACTCTCATATGTACACTTACTGGCTTACTGGTAATTTTTTTGGATATTGTGAGTTGCCATCATTAGAGGTCAATATAATTTACATTCATATTTTCATTGTAACTGCCTGTCCATGCTTCCATGAACACTCAATGGTTACCCAACTTTCTACCCTTTGACAATATGACAAGTAAAAAAAATAAGTTTCTCAATGTAGTTTTTATTTTTTGTGTAGACAAAAATATGATTTGTTATTTTTAGGACCAAGAACCACAAAGTTATATGGAGTTATCATCTCATCCTTAGTATTGTTCCTGGAGTCTCTAGTAGGTCACTATTAGAGTTCAGAGAATGGGAACATGGCAACATGCCCAGAACCAAGATAGAAAGAAAAGCCAATAGGTCCCATTTCTTGAATATTTGCCTTAATATAGTCCCTGATGATGTCCCTAGAAGATAACTTCTGCTTTTATGTGGATGCAACTAGAAGCTAAGTTTCAGATTTCCCAATGCCCACAAAAGGAGTTCTAATTACTTGGCAGGTTTTTTTGTCTTTTGTTTTCTCAATTTGTATCATAGAAAAATGAAGTAAAACAGGTTCTATATTTATAGAGATAACTAAACCTCTCAATAGGACTGCGTGGAGTTGGGCCAAATCATCCAGGTCATGGGAAGGTTATAAAGATTAAATAATATGTTTAATACAAATAATATTCTGCTTAGAGAAGAGGCATGTTGCTAATAAACATAATTGTCTCATGACTTGCAGAAAAAACATCAGTGGCTTTTTTTTTAATTTTGGTGCCCGTATTTGTGTTTACTTTTGCATAAGGAACAATCATCCAATGGTGTTCATGCTGTATCTGTTTAAAATGAATCACATGCCCTTCTATAAAATCATAGATTATGTTAGTGATTGTCTTTGTAAGAGGGACTTGAGAAACAGGTGAGAGGTGTCATTACACTATGGAGCCAAAAAAAAGATTAGGAGTTAGACCTGCTGGGTTTGCACTTAGCCCTCACTGGTTGGGTGTGTGACCTTGTGCAAGTCACTGACCTTTCTAGCGTCAATTTCCTTACCTGAACGGAGATAATAATCTGACTATGTACACCTGGGTCTTATTATAGGAACTAGACCATTGTACATATAAAAAGGCTTTACTGTTATACATCTTAGTTCATCTAACATTCGTGATATAGACAAGTTTGTGAAATGCAGTGTCCTCTTTTTTTTCCCCTCAGAAAATGCTTTCTTAAAATGCTTTTTAGCAAAATCATGCCAGGTATTCAAAAAAAAAGTTGGACTCAGGTTGTGTGACATTGAATGATTCAGTGATGTTCCATCTCTCCTAGGCAGAATATCATGTTTTGAAAAACTTTCGTTAGAAATATGCCTTATTGAAGAAAATATTTTATTGGCCTAAAAGACAGCTTAGGATAAAACTTGCTGTTCAGCAAATAGCAAAGACTTTTGTGTTTGGAGAAAAGTGGGTCGGGCCTCGTTTCTCTAGTGTTCTAGTCTTCCACAATTTATTGGAAGAGCTAACAGCTGGAGGGCTCATTTCTTTAATCTTTACTAGGTGTTTGCCAATATCCCTCCAGAAGTAGCAGGAAGACAACTCAGGCCGCCAGCGAGACTCACTGTGAGACAATCACTGCTGCTTCCCGGTGAGCCCCGCCGGGCAGCTGTAAACTTTTTCGGCCGCCCACCCTTGGTGCGCCGGCCCCGCCGCTCGCCGAGGCCGCAGGGCTCCGAAGGACAAACAGGTGGCCAGAGGGCAGGAGGAGACCGCAGACCTCCCCTCGAGCCCGGGATGACCCGGGGCCCCGGCCGCGGGCGCAGCACAGCTCTGGACGCCGCGGGTGCAGCCAGGTGCGAGCGAGCAGCCCCGGCACGTGGCGCACGTGGCCGCAGGTGCAGCTGCTGCGCGGTGCTCGGGAGCGCGCGGGCGGGTGCGCGGGGCGGAGCGGAGCGCGGGGGTCTCCGGGCCGGCGTCGGGGCGCCCCGGCGGGGAGCGGCCCGGCCGCGGAGCGCTCTCCACTTACACGTTCCGGCTCCCCTCCCGGCTCCGCCCCCTGGCGGCGGGAGGCGGGGAGCCCGGGCGCTCGGCTCCGGGTTCCCTCAGGGCTGCAGCGCGCCCGGGAGCTCCGGAGGGTCGAGCCGCGCCAGGTGCGGACGCCGCCGGGGCGGCCGCAGTGGAGCGCGCCGGGACGCGGCTCCGGGCTCGGCTCCCCGCCCCGGGCGCGCGTGGCTCCAGGCGTCGCGGGTGAGCGCGGACGGGGTGCGGGCGGGGGATGCGGGGGCCGGCCGGGCGGCTGTGACGGGGTCTGGGTGACGACGTGGGCCGAGAAAGTGGGGGAGCAGCCCGGGGCGGAGCGGAGCGGAGGCAGGCTCACGTGGCTCAGCGCGGCTCCTGCGGAGGACGGATGCGGAGCTGGTGGCTGTCACCTTGAAAGTGACCCGGGGGCTCAGAAGGGGACGCAGCCGCCGGGCAGGCGGGCGCCGCCCTCAGCGGAGAGCTGCCCCCGCGCCCCCGAGCTCCCAGCACCCCGCAGCCCCCGCGTCCCAAAGCTGGGCGCTTTGCTCGGGCCCATTCGCTGCAGAAGTAATCGGGGCTGGAAACGTGGGGAAGTGTGCTTGCTGCAGGTCCGGGTCCTCGCTGTGTCTTGCTACTTCCTGCGCTTGTACTTCTTAAGTTCTGGAAAAATCCGCTTCCAACTAAGGTCACCTCACGCAGAACTCAGCAGTACTTACTGTACCTCACTGTACCCTTTTTATTCTCTTGTTCGAGATACCTGTATTTGGCCACATTATCGGTTTGATTTTGCACTCCTACTTGAGGGTGACAATGAAGAGGTTAATTTTTCATTTAGTCTTCGTAGCTGCGCGTACTCTTACCAAATACAATTTAAGTAATCAGTGTTCTGAGAAAGGAAATGTAGTGCATTTTGTTTGTTTGAATAAAACCGAAATCTTAGGCAAAACAGGAGGAAGACAACTTTTATGCTTTGCCAGGTGTTTGGAGTTCAGTCTTCCTTGTCCTGCCTCGGGAGGAGGTGGAGGATGGGAGGGGATTCCAGGGAGAGGGAGCCCACCTGGGAGGGAGGTGGTTAAAAAAAAGTCATTGCTCCCCGCCATCCAGCGCCTCTTTAAGGAGTTTAAATACAGCCAGATAGCAAACTGAATACTCTAAAAAGCCGCATAAATGGAATTGCAGTTCCTCACACTTTTCAGGGGTGCTTAATGCAGAAATAGGACAGACCTTTTAAACTAAAAGGAGGGTAATGCCCTGTTGTGTGCAGAGTTTTACAGTGTGGAAAAGTGCTTTCATACAATTTTAAAGTATTGTATTATGTAAAGAAAAAGTTCTGCCAAAAAACGTGGAGCTATTTGCTTATTCTTAGAAAATAAAACTTAGATATGCACTTCAGTTTAAAATAAGTCGTGTAATTTGCACCACCGTTTCCCATCTGTTTTCTCTGGGGCGCACCCCTCACCCAGTCATGATTGCTCCAGACCCTCTTGCATGCTAAGCACTGAGGAATGCATATCCCCTGGTCCCGCAGCCCATTGATTTTAGAACCAGGTTCATGGGAGTAAATAGTTCTTGGTAGAGATCTGCACCTTTTAATTAAATGTCAAAATTTAAGGCTAATCTTTGTAGTGTTTAATAGGATTATGAGACTGTAGCGAAATTTCTTATAGTACTCCTCGGAGACTGAAGCATGTAGAAAGTATATCACCTAGTGCCAGACGTGGTGCGCTTCTGTAATCCTAACACTCTGGGAGGCTGAGGCAGGAGGATTGCTATTTTGGAGCCAGCCTGAACAACTTAGCAAGACCCTGTCTCAAAAATAAAAGTTAAAGAACTAGGGATTTAGCTCAGTGAGACCCCTCTGGGTTCCATCTCTAGTACCACATACAAAATCTAGTTGTTTTGGCTTTATTCAGTTTTAATTCAATGTTATACCAAATTTCTCATTTTGCATATTAATACTTTTTGATTGATATGAACCTTTTATGAATTCTTAGCAAACATTCACCATTTACATTGCAAGTATTTTCATGTTGTCTTTGCCTGATAAACGTGTTTAGAATGGTGCTGGCTTACAGGAATAGTTTCAGTGTTGAATCTGTTGACTTTTCAGAAAAAATTTATACCACCTCTAAATCATAGTTTAAGAATTATACGTATATGTGGCTGTGGTAAAATACTTTTAAAAGAAATCTCATTCTTTTCAAATCCTTTACAAGTTTTGTGCCCTGGAGTAGAGATTTTTTGCAAAAGTTTGGCATTTGCTGATGAGAAATCCTTGTGTGTAGCATGTATCAAAAGGATCAACATTCTTTGAACTCAACAGCAGAAAGTTTTAAATTCCAGGGATTGTCACTCAGATTTGTTGTTCTGTGATTATATAAATTAGGCAAACAGTCCATTTATTTCCAATAATCCCTTACAGTGGGTTTTTGTTGTTGTTGTTTGTTCTGACTTTGGCACTTGCCAGGCAGGTGCTTTGCCTCTGAGCTATATCTCCAGCCCTTTTCTGCCTTTTTGAGGCACAGTTTCATTCTGCAGTTCAGGCTGGCCTAGAACTCACTTTGTAGTCCAGGCTGGTCTCAAATTTGTAGTGGTCATGCTGCCTCAGCCTCCTGAGGGCTGGGATCACAGGCATGCACTATCATGTCTGGCCTTTATAGTGGTATTCTTACAGACTTCTTTTAATGTTCATTGTTGTAATTTTGTATGCTGAATTGTTGATTTCTTTTTCTTTTCTTTTTTTTTTTTTTATCAGTACCAGGGATCGAACTCACGACTGACTGCTTGCAAGGCAAGCGCTTATGCCACTGAGCTAAATCCCCAGCCACGATTTTTTCTTGAAGTCCAGACAGATGCATGTGTAGTTTGAAGTTTTTCCCAAATTACGAATAAACTGTTTGAAGGAAACAAACCTCACTGATTTCCAAATTTGAGCTATCTTTCTATTCTCTGGACGTTTAAGTCTACCCTGTGGATTTTTAAAAAATCCTCATTGAACAAAATGAGTTTTCTATCAGAGTCCAAGTCCTTTTCTTTCATTCTGTCTTTGAAAAAGGATATATACTTTAGTTGTGAAGATGAGGGCTGTATTCAGGTGTTTGGGGCATTAAAAAATGGCCGTGAACTTTCTCTGAAGACAGGTGGGCCTACGACAAGGTAACCACTTAGCTGGCAGGTGCTTGGACAGTGGTAACTGAGACCTCCAGAGGACTTAAGCGGTAGTGACCAAGATGAGGATCCCATCCTACAAGAAAAACTGGACTAGATGGCATAGTACAACCTCAGCTTTCCTGAAATTTGGTACCAAAAAGGTGGTTCATTGTCTAGACATCTCCATACTTGGTTTAGGATATTAAATTTGTTTAGCAAATTGATTTCTAAAGTTTTATTAGAACACCCTGACAGTAGTGGGGGGGGGGGCGGGGTGAGTTGGGGATTAGACCCAGCCCCTTGCACCTGCCAGGGAAGTAGTCTAGCTTCAGGTGACTCCCCATCTCCTGACAGTTATGTTTTTAAAAATGACTTTAGTATGCTTTGAAATCAGTTATTAGTCTTTCATGGAGGCAGTTTCCTATGACACTCTTAAAGTCTGACTTTTTCTTGTTCACTTGGTTTAAACTGAAGAAAAAAGATTTCCCATTTTAGGACTGACCCATATGAAGGCAAATCTTTTTGTTTTTGTTTTTTTTTTTTTTTGGTCTTTTTCGTTTTTTATCGGTACCAGGGATCGAACTCACAACTGCCTGCTTGCAAGGCAGGCTCTTATGCCACTGAGCTAAATCCCCAGCCCCCTGAAGGCAAATCTTTACCATGTGGATAGGTACAATAAAACTGTTTTCATGTGTGCCATAAATTAATTAGCATTTTGTAAATGCCCTGCTGTGCAAGTACCATACAATCAAGGAAGAGAGGGGCTGGCTGGGGAGTGCTTGCCTGCAATTCCAGCACACTGGGAGGCCGAATGTATGTGGCTCAGTCTTCAGTACCACTAGGAAGGAAGGAAAGACGGGAGAGAAGAAGAGAAAAAGTATGCTCAGCAAATTGAGTGACGCTAGAAGTGCTTCTCTTAATAACTAGCTTTTAAGCACTTGAGGATTACATACTTTTCTATAAATCTTTGACTTAGAAACCCTAATTTGTTCATTGAAGCTAGTAGGTTTTCCTGACACTTAGTTTAAACTCTACATCAAATAGTATTGAAAGTGGTATTGGTTATTGCTTGTAGGCCCATCTATGAATTAAAAACATGTTAATTACATGTGTAAAAGTATGAAGCACAACTCATCTTGCCTTCATTGTAATTTAGAAATGGTAATTCATTCTAAAGTTGTAAAACAAGTAAATGTAATTTCTTTCTTCCCCCCCCCCCCCCCTTTCCAGTACTGGGAAAAGTAGCTTTTAAACTACACGCCCTGCCCTTTTTATTTTGAGGCAAGGTCTCACTAAGGTGCTAAATTGGCTGTTTCAGCCTCAGAGTGGTGGAATTATTACCGTGCCTGGCAAAGTAAAGGTAGCTTTAGTGCCGCTTTCTCTTGAGGAAACATGCTTGCTGTGTGATAGAGTTGACTAGACTCTTTTTGAGTGGTGACAGAGGTGCAGATCTGAATTTCTCACTAGCTGGGAAAGACAAAAGTTGCAAGGAAAGGACTTCTGGGGATACAGTTTCTCCTGAAGCATACTGATTTCATGTTTTACATGTACAGTTTCTCCTGAAGCATGCTGATTTCATGGGCTGGGTGAAGAGCAGGGCCAGTCAGTGTACCCCGAAGCCAGCCCAGTGAAGGGGAGGGACAGTTTGAGGACACATCAGCTTTCTAGGTATCCTGTCTTGGAAAGGGAATTTCAAATGATTATGTTACCTTGTTATCCTTTTTAAAAGTACAGACTTTTGTAGCTTGCAAATTAAGTGTATTTTAAGCTCCATGCAGAAGAAAATAAATCTGGTGCTTCAAGGGCAGTCATTTAAAGTGCCCTGATCTTCCACACTAACAAAAACGTTTCAGGACATTTTGTGTTCTAAATTGACACTGAGGAAGAAATCCTCTGGGACATGCATGTCTCTGTGAGACGAATAGGAAGAAGAGGTGTAAATACAGTCTATATTCTTATGCAAACAAACAATTTAAATAATATTTTTAACAGTATTCATTAAATCTTTACTACAGGAGTGTTCTATGCTTTTGCCATCTTGGAAACTTGGTAATATTTAACTCATATTATTTACGCATATAGCCATCCTGAAGGAAAAGTCAATATTTTATTTCTTTATTTTAGATAAGCAGCTCCTGTGAGTTTTTTTAGTAGTGTTTAGTGACAAAGGAGAAAGTAATTTTCTTTTATGTTTATCTTGTAGATTTCCTGATGATTGTTACAGATTAATGATACCAAGTTGAAACTACATGT